ATAATACATTTGAATACTTAATGTTTAAGTAATCAATCAAATATATGTTTAAACATTAGGTGTAGTAAAAAGAAATTCATTATTTTTCCATTTAATTTTATGCAAAAATAATGGATTTCTTTTTACTACACCTAATATAAAACTTATAGTAATTCAAATAATATAATCTTCTAAAAGTATAGATTTTTTAATTTTAAAATCCTTTTTTAAAAAATTTCATGAAAAAGAAATTCATAGCGTTATAAACTATTATCCCAAATCAATATCATATATAAACATATCTAGAAAAATATAGAATATTTTAAAATTATTAATAGATATATTAATTATATATTATGCATTTATTATTAAGTATCAATAAACTTTTAGTAAATTAATATTACACGTAATTTTTAATTTCTATACACGTGTTTTGAAAAAAGAAATAGTTTTAATTGTAAAAAATTTTTTCAAAAAAATTAGAACATATTTCAAAATCAGAAAGTTATTAATAAAAGTTAAATTTAAGAATGTAGGTATGATATATAAACATTGCGGCTAGGATTAAAAATGTCGTGGACTTTGAACATGTTTTATTATATATTAATAAGCTTATTAATAAAATTAATGTAAAAATGCAAATTAATTATAGCGATTCCTTTCTTTAATTATGGGTATTGCATTATGAAAAAATTTTAGAGGTAATTTTTCTAATATTGTAGTTTCTATATCAATTAAGTAAGTTGATTTTAATCTTGATCCTTGTATATACAACCCTTTGTAGGACACTAGTGTACTGCTTTACTACTTCAAGTTTTTGATATATGGGTAATCAAAAGGGATCACTACACGGATAGTAAAATATTTTCATTACTTGAAAAAAACATAAAATAAGAAAAAATATGCATTTTTTTCCTAATAAAAAAATTCGTCTATACATTTCTTTAAGATAGAGTAGTCTTGCATCAATTATTACTCTGTTGAGCTGTTCTCATCTTTTGTCAAAATGTAATCTTTCTTGAAGGATTGATTAAAATGAGTCTGTTTCGCGCACACGCGATTTTTTATAGCGCAAGTTTTAACGACTCGCACACGCGAATCTGTTTAAGGAGTCGGCTCGATTTCTCATCGTGGAAATTCATTTTGGGTCACTCTCCAGCGACCATTCGCGCTCGGTCAAATGTTCCGCTCTCCACCCTAAGTTTTCGAAATACGCTTACCTTCCACTCACGCTCCACCGAAATCAGAAAAAGGCTGGCACTTCACCACTTCTGCTCCTAGCTACGTCGTCACCGAAACCACCGATCCCTACGTGATTCAGCGGCGCTGCATCAAACCGAGCTACCCATCAAAGATTTGAACTAACCGAGATTCCGTCCACTTGACTCTTCGCACTGTATTTCTCTATACCAGCGTTCAAAACTGGTATACGCTGTCGTTGATCGATAGGTGAACACAACGGGATTTAGGAACACCGATCAGGAGGAAATTCCCCTTCTTCCGGGAAACGAAGAGTTGCAAAGACTTCAAGGGAAGCTCTCGTCACTGTGCACGCGGTCCTTCTCTCGGGGGGTCAGGATCAGCGAGGCACACTTGCGTGTGAGTGCTACATATGTCCCCGCGATATCGCATATGCGTTCACGTAAGTCGTATACACCAAGTATTAAAATAAGTGTAGATGATAGATATCCCGCGCGTATCCGATATGTATCACGCGTGTGTACGCGCGTGCGATCAGGGCGTGCGTACGTGAGCTTACGGGTCCAACGGCCGACGCTGCAAGAATAATGTGCGGCGCGGTAGGCCCGCGGTTTAAGTATTGGCTAACCCAAGTGGGGTTAGCACGCGCGTGAGAGGGGCTGCATCACTGGGCCTTAGGTGATCTGCGAACCTCGCGCCGCGCTCAGTCAAGGTCGTTTCACTCAGGTGACCATCCAAGGGGAAGTGGAAAGGTATCTTCTTGACGGTGACAGACCATGGGCGTGAGATCCTTCGGCCAAGGTCACGTGCCGTTTAAAACTTCACTGTACCTCCGGTGAAGATCGAGGATGTCGAGAAGGTACCGGCGCGCCGGTATTGCAACTTCTTTTACATACACATTTTTGGTAATTGTCTCTTTCATATGACTTCGTATTTTCCTATATATATATTATCTTTATATATGGATCACACTTTTATGGCTTTCAATTAAATTAAGAAACGTGCAACGATGTGGATGCATCTAATAAATTTTATTTTCTCGTTAAAGAAAGAATGGCTTTGCTAAAAGTATTTAAAAATTAAATATTTAAAAATTAAAAGAATTTTGTGGATCTATTAAAATAACTATGTAGGACTTAAACTGATTGCTAGAATATAAAAATTTTTTTCAACATTATTTGTCATGCTTGAATTTCCTACAAAATTATTGTGATGAATTAATAAAATTGTTTTTAGATCTGTGTATTTAGATTTTTAGGTACTTTAACATTACTCCATATTGCAAATTGGTATTATGTGAATATTGTAATCTATGATTTATTTTAATTAAGTTAAAAAAATTTGCCAAACGTTGCCAAATTTTGCCAAACGTTGGTATTCCAAGAATGGATCTGGACATAATAAAAAGTTTTGTTACATTTATATTATTTCACGCAACAATTTATATTACCGCGCCTGATTTCTATTAGTCCTTTTTTCACTTAATTTCTATCAATAAGAAGTCCTTGTGAATTAACTTATGTTTTATCAAAAAGGAAATTTACCCCGCAAATACAAGAATAGATATAATAAGTTTTAATCATATAATTCACGATTGAGATTGTCACTTCAATTTTATGAGAATTGCCTTTCAAAGATGATTGAAGACAAGCACCAACTATTTTTACGGTCAGTTTTCTCAGTGTTCAACTATATACTATTATATGATCGGCTTTAAAAACAGCTTCTCCTTTAATTACGGCCATCTTATTTTTTTTAAAAAATCAATAATATTATCAAGAGTCAAATCTAAACTAATTTCATTCTCCATATTTCTAATTGCACTCAATTAAATAAATTAGTTTAAATATATCACAATCAGATCGGATCAACATTCAAATCAACATTCAATTTTATCTTTAAAGCGATCATTTTGAATGATTTCAGTATCGTCTATGATTCGATTTTCACTCGCGAATTGTTGATTTGAGTATCAGTCATGCGTAATAAAAGATTATATTATCTATCATTTAATAATGAATATAATTGAATTTCATTGATGATGAAAACCGTCAGTGTGTTCACGAAAACCTCCGTAGCGGGAATACATTTATATTATCGCATGATCTTCGCAAATATCATCATTGGTATTGTGAAACGGCGTCGCTAAGTGTTGCAACTTGATTGCTCTCGGCATAATAATTTTCGAGTGATCCTTCACTCTTGAAAATGAAGGAAGATTTCTAGTTGGAAGGCCCTTTCACAATTATGTAAAGATATAATTAAACAGTTCATCGCATTGATTAGTCATTTATTTGTCGGAGTTAATATTATTTTTTTGTATGCCCACACGTCGTACACCGTGATGAAAAATTTCATCGGTTCATTCAAATTGTATGGCGAGATCAGATTCGTTCTTTCATATATCATTATCCAAGATCCACATGTGTTTCACAATCGTTAAAGCATGAGATGATATCCATTGTGAAGATTCAAGTCGTAGTCTTTATCATCCACCAACAGCTTAAGAATAGCTTAAGAATCTCGGTGCTACTTCCGTCCAAGCGCATGCCAGTGAGTGTGTATGCATGAAATTCATACTACACGTGGCGATCAATTCTAAGGTGTGCAATATATATATAAAAACTCTAAGCTTTTTTTATTAATCAAAATTTCAAAATGCGAATAGTTTCCAACAAATCATTGAAGATAAATTGATTCTTTTTTTTTGAAAATTATATTTTAGAAAAAAATAAATAAATAATTGTAGAATTAATTTGATTAATAAGATATTATAATAAAAAGATTATTAAAGATATTCGTGAAATTATTTAAACAATGATATTACAATATAATGTTTTCTGTAAACAGACATTCAAAGGAAATATAAAAAGCAATGTTGTTTGTCTTCTTTCTGTTAATCGTCTAATACTTTGGACAGTATTATTATAAATAATTTTATAGCAATATATAATTATATATCATCTGATATTAACAAAAAATCTACTAATTGTTAAAGGAACAGGAATGTAATGAATAAATAAAAAATAAATAAAATGAAGAAATATAAAGCAATAATTACATCTAAATAATATATAATAATTAATATTGATGTATAATGGAAAAAACCGAAATCAAAGATCATATTTTAAGAATGCATATCGATACATGTAGAAATTAATATTCTCATTTATTCTAACTTTTTATATCTAAACTATCTCAGATCTGTATAGTATAATGTGGAGGAAACTTTGATAGAAGTTGTTGATGAGCCTTTTTCCTCAAGAATGCGTTTTTCCATTCGGATTTCGTAAGAATTGTTTTTTTGCGTTTTATTTAGATGTACAAGTTTACTTTTTATTTAATTTTTATGTCATTAATAAAAATGATTTTGCGTTAACAAGCAAATCTTCGGTAAGCATAATCTTCATATGCATAAATAGCACCTACAGTTCCTGTAAAATGCAATCAAGTGTATTTCGAGGAAACGAAAAGTTTACATGGAAAGAGATTTTATCAACTAAAAAAGATTTATTATGAATTAAAAATAAATGATACGTACAGAATGCGTATTGTGTTTTTTATAATTGCCTGTACTTATGAACTCTATAGTTAAATATCAAATGAAAGTTCAGTTAACATTTAATAATTTTGAGATACTTTGGAAACTCTCTTTTCCTCACTATTCTCAAGTGTTATAAATTACATTTGATAGATTGAAGCAATTGGTATCGAATGCCAGATTTAATTTTATTGCCAAATTTTTCATTATTTTATCCTTCTTAAAAATTAAAAGAAGCGAAGAAAAAGTGGACATTTATCGTAAATATATTTTAAAATCGAGGTCAAGAGAATTTCTTTTTTGCTGTTAATAGCATTATTGTATGTAAGGATAAAGATTCACTAGTAGTCCTTGGACTTTGGTTTAAAATTCATTTGTTTATCTGCTTCTTTTAAATTTTTGATTCATTAAAAATTCGTATAGTGATGTGTATCTAAAGCACATTTATTTTTGTTCCTTGATGTTGTAAGAAGTTATATAATTTTAGCAAAGTATAATTGACGTAATAGTGAATCAATCGATATAATTCGCAATATATTGAATCCGACTAGACCTATCGTACTAGTCTTACTTTCATGTAAAAATTTTAATTGAATGTAATACTAAAATTATTAATGCTTTTTGACGCAATATAGACAATAAATTATATATATATATAATTATAGTTTTTCGTGCAATGTAGACAATAAAATATTTTTACAAATAAGAATTTTCCATAAATAACTATCAGTTTCTAATGTAAAGGTTTTTTTCAGATGTCATAAATGTCTAAAAGATTTTATGAAGACGAATTTGTAAGAAATGTTCTACATATATAATTTCTGTAATATTTTTTAAGTGCTTCTTGCATATCTTCTAGATTCTTGTTTTAAATTTTGCTTCTTCTGACGTTAAATGCCAAGAAAATATAAATCTAACGTAATAGTTTGAACTCATTGTTTTGTTGACAATTGCGTCGATTATTTAATTGTAAAAGATAAGATCGATGTTATACGTAAAAAAAGAAAAACTTGTTTACGTTCATAGGAATGCTTTTTACGTTCATAGGAATTAAACAGCAATTTATTACATCGTAATAAATTTATTTTTCCTAAATAAAAAATGCAATAAGTTAAAAAGAAAGTTATAAAATGTTTAATAAACGTTAGTAATTTTTCTATATGTATCCATTATTTCTATGTTAAAAATACTACCAAATCATTAAATATTTCTTAAACTTTTTGGTTTGATAGAATATAACACTTTCAATTCATTCATATTATAAAATATATTTTTACATTATACATATATCAATTTTTTAAATATTATACCAAGATGGCATTCTCCATCATTTGCTTTGTTCTTAGCTACGTAATTGCAGAATGTTCTTTACTTGTTTTTCATTTCTATTGTACGCAATTAAGCACTTGATGCAATCTTGAATCGGGCGAATGATCAGGAAGTTAGTGCAAATTAGACAAGTAGCGATTTCAACATACAATGTTTCGATAAACAAAGAAACTATTACCAGCATGTGTGAACATTCTTAAGTGTGTGTTAAGACATTTAAGAAATTATATCGTACATTTTATAATACAATATAATACAGCATATGTTTAATATCATATTAATCAATTATCGTAAATATCATATAAACAAATCGTTATAAGTGTAATATATTTTTTTTTCGAAAGAAAGAGAAAACTTATTTTCTTGAAAATTGTAAGTTTAAAAATTCTATAGAAAATTCTCATAAGAGAGTTAAAGTTGTTAAAAATATTCAAATAATAATGCAAGTCAGAACACTGTAAATAAAAATAAAAATCAAAATGTTATAATTAAAAAAAAATACAAATTAAATATTATAAGTTATCTCATATATTTATATATATTGTCGATACGATTTGATTTATCATATTGATGATAAATACTATTTTATTTATTAAGCTACTTTTCT